GAATATGTGTTTCATGTAAAATTTTCGTCAACCGGTATTCCAGAATCTCGAACTGACAGCAGATCTCCTGCAGGAGTCCGGATACCAAGCTATCACAGGCAACGTTTACAACCGCACAGATTGACATACCTATCATTTGGTGAGTAAATACCAACAAAAATATAATAGATGATGTGTAGTCGAATGGCACCCATGCTTTGTATGTTAAGTTTCCTTCAATAAAATCCATAAAGATAGCATTTAAAATTATGCATATAACTGTTACTTGGACGAGGCCATAATACCATATTGCGTATTTCCTATAAAATATATTTCTTATGAAAATATTCTAAAACTTAGCTATGAAAAATTGTTACATCCATGTTTTTGAAAAGTTTACTTGATTATACTTTTATTGCTATATTTTCCTTAAATTATATTACTGTTTAAATCTGTGTTGTTTGTGAAATATTGATAATTTATAAGCATTGGAGGAATGCTTGTAATAATTGAAGCATTAAATAATTATGTTCAGAAAATGATCATATTGTGCTAAACACTATATACTGTTAGAAATGTAACCACGAACTTCCCTTACATGTAAATGAAGCTCGTGGTTATGAACGAAATTAAAAGTAATGATTGATTTAACTGAAAATTAAGTTACAGTAGTTATTTAAATGTAATGAACATATACATTAAATTTCATAAATTTTCATGAAAAATACATTAAATTTCATAAATTTTCATGAAAAATACATTAAATTTAATGTAATGTCATGAAATTAAGTTCAAATTGTGTATATTAAAAGTATAATAAATTCCATGAAATTTTTAATAGTGTATGTACATTGTCTTAAAATGAAATAATTTAGATATTTAAAATATTAACTCTCCAAATCTGAATCAGTGGATAATCACTGATATCAGTGCCAAGTATGCCACTGGTAATCAGTGAATTAAATGTGAGATTCCTAACCTAGCTAATCTTTATTATGTTACCTAACTAACTTGTTTTAGTGCTTAAATTCAAAGAATACGGTATTGGAAGATTGAAATTGACGTGCAAATATCAGTATTTTAGTTATATAACGCTCAAACATTCTTTTTTTTTTTTTTAATTGAACTTCACTGATTATCAGTGTCAAATATGCCACTGGGTAGTGACTATCCATTAATTCAGATTTAGAGAGAATACTAGTATATTCTATATTGCTATAATTTATTTACTAACGCAACGCAATAATGGAAAATTAAAATATTTTGATTATTTAGAAATTGATTACCTAATTATGACGATAATGAATATACTTATTTAATATTCGAGAATAATACTTACTTTATCGTTTTGTCATATTTTTGTCGAATTATTATTTCACATAATTCCGACGGTTTGAAAGGCTCCTCCGTAAGAACATTGATTATCGTTATGACATGTTCCTTGATTATCCACATTGTAGTTATTTTATAAGTCGCGATGAATACCGTCAACGTCATATATATATTATCACTTATTTCGCCAAAGTTGTTAATATTTAGTATAATATTCATAACTTGCGATATTGTAAATGTACATAACACACAAATTAACAATATTCTATAACTGTTATACATCATATATTTAAATAGCGACGTCCATGTAAGCGGCTGCCAGCATCCGCTGACTGCGCAGAGTATAAGTGTAAACTGCAGCACGATCATTCAAACCTTTTAAAATTTAATTTTGCCTATACATGAATTACTCACAGTATTATATCTATATTTATATCTATTTATACGTCCAATATCATATAAATTTAAAATAAAAAATAAAAAATAAAATATTTTTTTCTGACATATTTAATATAAAGCTTAACTTCACTTAAATGGACTTCAAAATTGAATTACTTAAGAGTTTAATGTCATTGACATTGTACATGTAAAAACATTTCTACTAATAAGTTATTTTTAAATAAACCAGAAGATTTTGATATATAAAATATATGAAAGCCATATTTATAAAACACAATATAATTATACAATTCCATTTTTTAATATGAAACTTATAAATTCATATTATTTGCTGTACTTACAAATTGATCAATTCTCACTTGGCATATCACATTAAAAATATCTTGACAAATAATACTATTTGAATAGTTCGTGAAAAAGTGTATGGTTACATCATATTCACGCTCCAAATAGCAATAGACGAATTTTACAAGACGTACATCCAGAACGTCTATAGCCTCGCAACACTACTTTATGATATTGTAGAGTACCCGTTCACCACACCCCTTTTTATGTGTCTCTATTATTACCGTAATACCGATTTTGCAGCGGCGCGGAATATTATTTTCATGAGTCAAGATATAGGTAAGCTACAATATTTGTCACGCGATGGGGTAAATAACGTTTCCACGAGATAAAAGGCAATGTAGCTTTTGAAGGTTCATCAATATAGAACACCAGATGTAAGTTGTCCCTATGAAATATTCATGCGTCGTTTCTTGTATTTTTTATCAAAAATGTTTTTTTTATTACTGTTACTATCCAGTGCTTGACATGTGACATCACGTACTATATTTCGATTTCTATTCATAGCAGAATATAAACATCGGGGAGAAAGTGAATTATAAAAGTTAGTTCAATAGTGATTTAATAATTTCTACGATATTAAGCTTTTATATACGATACTTATCGTAGCAATTAAAACGATATTTATGAGAATTTTCGATGACATATGCAAAGAAAAGCGTAGGTATTAATGTATGCTTATTTGTAATTAGCGTAACTGCAACATTTTATCAATTCATCTAATAAAATGATATCGGCTTTGATTGGTTCGTGACTTAAGACTATATTTAAGACAGTCTTAAATATAAAAATCAACTGTGAATACCAGTCTATAACTCTTACATATAATGTCATTTGATGATACATAATCTTTATCAGAGTTGGGAAGTAACGCGTTACTTGTAACACGACGTTACTTTTTTTTATTAATAACGAACAGGCAACAACGTTTTCTTTAGTAACGAGTAACGAAATTGACTCTGTGTCCTGTGCGTGCGCGCGTGTATGTGCTTAGTATTCTGTCTTAGAAGAACCTGTTTTAACATAAAAAAAGATTTTAATTGTGCAAAAGACAGGCTTATTCATTGATTTTGATGAAATTAGGATCATTCGATGCATTTTTGCACAAAATGAATGAATCTGACAGATTTCCTTACCTCGATAGTCATCAACCTAACCATTAATATCTTGGTTCGCCGGACAGAACGACACTTATTTTTCTGCTAGATTCGTTTATTTCGTGCAAAAACGCATCGAATGACCCTAATTTCATCAAAATTGATGAGTAGACCAGTCTTCTGCATAATTACAAAAAAGGTAACGAAAAGTAACGATTTTTCATTGTTACTTTTAAGTAACGGTAACGCGTTTCTTTTTAGAATCGGTAACGAGTTACTTTTTATCGCAAATAACGGTAATGGTAACATATTACCTTTAAAAAGTAACTTTCTCGTTTTCCCAATATTGATCTTTATGATAAAATTGTGTAATATACAGGGTGTTTCCAAATTAAATGGCAAAACTTCGGGAGCGTGTAGAGGAGTAAAAAACTAAGAAAAAAAGTCCTATAGACATATGCTCCTTTTTGCTTTGTTTCGCAGGAAATCACGAAAAAAGA